ATCTCTATATATTAGCTATTGATGACTATGATTTGGCTGTCAAAATACCGTTTTTAGTACAAATCACAGTGACAGCTGTGACAGCTATGTTAACCATTTTTTTCTCAATAGTTGAGAATTTTCTCTCAAAATCTCCCTCCCAAAAGGGAATTCAATTATAACATAGTATCAGAGTCAAATAATACAGGAGGGAAAATAATATAAAGAGACTCATAAAAAGACCATTAAATCAAACACTTCTTGACAGCAATTGCAATGAATCAGAATTTAGTTATCTATCTCTATCAATAGACTGATTTTCCTAATAAAATAATAAACAACCTCCTTTGCAGGTGAGTCTGACCACTTGTTAAGAGGAATGGAAATATTAGATTGAATTGACTGCTAATATAAAAAGTACAACACACAAGTGACTGTAGCATCATACAAACATGAACATAAATACTCTGAATAGGACTATTGCTCTAATTTCCTTCCAATACTTTTGAAAGTAAAATGTCCAACTTTGCTGGACTAGCAAAGATAAGTTTTCCTACAAGGAACAGAAATAATTTCTAAAATATATTTGGTTTAGAGAATAGTCTACAGAACAGGTTGAGGGACTTAAGTCTCTTCTGTAGGCACAAATAAAGCACTCTGAGCTCTATAACGGGTTTGGGCTACCAAGAATTTATTTATTTATTTATTTATTTATTTACAAATATTTATATGCCGCCCAATCCCAAAGGACTCAGGGCGGCGTACAAGGTTAAAAACAGTCATAAAAGAATAAAATAATCCAGTCATACCGCAAGTCTGATCATATCCCGGCCCCCTGGGGACATCAGCCCCAGGCCTGCCAGAACAGGAGAGTTTTAACGGCTTTCTTAAAGGCCGGCAGGGTGGGAGTAGTTCGAACCTCGGGGGGAAGTTGATTCCACCAGGTCGGAGCCACCACAGAAAAGGCCCTTCCCCGAGGACCCGCCAGCCGACATTGTCTGGCCGACGGGGCCTGAAGGAGGCCCAATCTATGGGACCTCACCGGTCTCTGGGAGCTGTGCGGCAGAATGCGGTCCTCTAAGTAACCTGGCCCTATGCCATGAAGGGCTTTGAAGGTGATAACCAACACCTTGAATTGCGTCCGGAGACCCACAGGAAGCCAGTGCAGCTCGCGGAGGATAGGTGACATGTGGGGTACCTTGGCACGCCCACAATCGCTCTCGCGGCTGCGTTCTGAACCAACTGCAGTCTCCGAACGCCCTTCAAGGGTAGCCCCATGTAGAGCGCGTTACAGTAATCCAGTCTTGAGGTGACAAGGGCATGAGTGACTGTGAGTAAAGCCTCCCGGTCCAAATAAGGCCGCAACTGGTGCACTAAGCGAACCTGTGCAAAGGTCCCCCTGGCCACAGCTGATAGATGTTGTTCCAAATTTAGCTGTGAGCCCAGGAGGACACCTAAGTTGCGTGCCTGCACTGAGGGAGGTAAATTTGCCCCCCCAGGACTAAAGATGGACCATCCAGTTGGCCTTTGGGAGGCAAGACCCAGAGCCACTCGGTCTTGTCAGGGTTGAGTCTAAGCCTGTTCACCCCCATCCAGACACTCACATCTTCCAGGCACCGGCACATCACGTCGACTGCTTCACTGAAAGGACACGGGGTGGAGATATACAATTGGGTATCATCAGCGTACTGATGATACTTCACCCCGTGTCGCCGAATGATCTCACCCAGCGGTTTCATGTAGATGTTAAAAAGAAGGGGGGACAGGACCGAGCCCTGAGGCACCCCATAATCGAGGCGCCTAGGGGTCGATCTCTGTCCACCCGCCAACACCGACTGCGACCTGTCAGAGAGGTAGGAGGAGAACCACCGCAATACGGTGCCGCCCACCCCCACCTCTCCGAGACGACGCAGAAGGATACCATGGTCGATGGTATCGAAAGCTGCTGAGAGGTCAAGAAGCACCAGGATAGAGGAATAACCCCTATCCCGGGCTCGCCAGAGGTCATCGGGCAGTGCGACCAAAGCAGTCTCAGTGCTGTAGCCGGGCCTGAAACCAGATTGAAAAGGGGCCAGATAATTGGTTTCCTCCAACGATCGCAAGAGTTGAGACGCCACCACCTTCTCTACAACCTTCCCCACAAAGGGGAGGTTGGAGACGGGACGAAAGTTCTTCAAAACAGATGGGTCCAGGGAAGGCTTCTTGAGGAGGGGCTCACCACCGCTTCCTTTAAAGGTTGCGGGAAAGACCCCTCCATCAAGGAGGCGTTGATTATCGCCTGGAGCCAGCCTCGTGTCACCTCCCTACTGGCAGAAACCAGCCAGGAGGGGCACGGATCCAATAAACAGGTGGCGGCATTCATTGCCCTCACGGCCTTGTCCACTTCATCAGGGGTCACAGGCTCAAACTCGCTCCAGATAATATGACTAAGACCAGCCCCTGGCAACTCGGCTGGCACTGCCCAGTCGGAGTCCAGGTCTCTTTGAATCTGAGCGATTTTGTCCGACAGAAACTGAACAAACTCCTCAGCTCTCCCCTGCAAGGGTTCCTCCGCCTCCTCCACTTTAAGAAGGGAGCGGGTCACCCTAAACAAGGCGGCCGGGCGAGATTCTGCGGACGCAATAAGTGCGGAAAAGTGAACACGCTTTGCCGCCCTTATCGCCACTAAATAAGTCCTAATATAGGCTCTTAATAGTGATCGGTCAGATTCAGAGTTACTGGCCCTCCAACGTCGCTCTAGACGTCTCTTGTGGCGCTTCATCTCCCTGAGCTCCTCAGTAAACCAAGGGGCCCTCCGGGGACCACCACCACAGATTGAAATAAATCAATCAATTGGAGCATTGGCTTCAATTTTTTTCCCACAAAGAAAATAAATCTGCTAAACCATCTATGAAAATTACTTTTAGCCAGTACTTGACATGGTAAATTCTCCACGGAGCTAAAAGCAAACTCCAAACAAAGTAATGTGAAGGAAACATGAATCAGAGTTATATATTTAGATTTTAATGCTTTTAGGATGGATATACTGTAGGAAGAGGTATGCCTCATACTTCAGGAAGCAAAGCACTTGTGCTCTAATAGTTAGATGGTTACAGAATTTCATTTTGAAGATAGGAGAAAAAATTAGCCAGATAAAATATATCTTAATGTTTGCTAATGTAGTAGAGTTATATGTTAATGTGTAAATCAAACACATTCTTATTTATGTCAAAACAAATCCCACAAAAAGAATGGAAAAACTAGTTTACCAGGAAAAACTAGTTTACCATGAAAAACAACAAAACCAGTATTATTAAACTGGTTTAGCCAAGTATGATTAGACACACAAGGAATTTTAAATGGGTTAAAAGACATGTCAAACACAAGGCCCGGGGTCCGGATGCGACCCACAAAGTGGTTTCATGTGGCCCGCGAGCCATCCTGGAAACAGTGAGGGAACAGCCCCCGCTAACTTGGCCCTGGCCCAGACCAGCCAGGAATCAATGTACAATTTCATGGTGGCCATCTATGCTGAAACGCATTCAGTCTTTGCTCTACAAGGCCATCTGGAAACAGCGAAGAACCAGCCCCTGCCGTGTCGGCCCCGCCCCCTGAGTGCATGCTGGGGAAGTAGCACCCTTTGTGAGGAATGAAGAAATGCACCATCTCCTGGAAGTGACCAACAAATGGCCCTCGCCTACTTCACATATCCGGCTTGATGGGCTCCGGGGGAGGGAGTTTCAGCAGGCAGCAGGGCGCTCTCCACACAGCGGTGAGAGGCTGAGCTGGGCGGCGCAAATCCCAAAAAAAGCACAACGACGCCCAGCCCCCAGCCTGCCCAGTTTCAGCAGGCAGTGGGGCGCTCTCCTCACAGCACCAAGAGCTGAGCTGGGTGATGCAAAACTGATGAGAACTACAATGCTGCCTAGCCCCCAGCCTGCCCAGTTTCAGCAGGCAGCAAGGTGCAAAGCATTGCACCATCCGGCTCAACCTCTCAGCGCTGTGAGGAGAGCACCCTGATGTGAGCCCACTAAGCCGGATATGTGAAGTAGGCGAGGGCCATTTGCTGGCCACTTCCAGGCGATGGTGCATTTCTTCATTCCTCACGAAGAATGACACCTCCCCAGCTGCGTTTCTAGCCTGTTTTTCTCCTTCCCTTATCTCAAATATTTTCCCATCACTCTGTACTTAGGAAGGAAAGAAGGAAAGGGAGGGTCTGAGGGAAGTCCTGTCTTAGTCCTGCCCTGCTGTCCTTTCATCATTCCCTTGCACCCTCCTCCTGGACTATCCTAGGGTTCTCCCATCCTATTGCTAAGGAAGCTTTGGATACAAAGCCGGGTCTCCTCCCATGGAGAGGGAATGGGCCTCCCTCTGACTTTGCCCTTGTAACCATCATGAGCAACCTGGTTAAGGAGAGCAAAAACAGCAGCAGCAGCCTTGAGGAGGAGGCAAGTACTGCTGGGCGCCCCCCTGAGGAAGTGGGGCTGGGCTTGGTGCCGCAGGTGCTTGAGGGCCAGGCTGGGCCTTTGACCTCTGCTGCTCAGGGCTCTGGGCAGCCCGCACCACCATCCAGCGTCTCCCCCTCATGGCCTGAGAGGAATGGTGAGGCTTCTCCAATGGACCATGCCTTGGCACTTGCCCTGGTCCCACCCCTTCTGCCAGAGACCCTCAGATCTGTCCCACTCCTGCCCAGGCCCCCCCAGGCACCCTTGATCCGAATGATGTAGAGCTGGCCATGCCCACCCAATAGGCCACACCCACTCTGTCCACGCCGACCCATTAGGCTGCACCCACCCTGGCCACACCCACCCGCCCCCCCAGGGGCAACTGCAGTGCTGATGTGGCCCTCAATGAAATTGAGTTTGACATCCCTGGGTTAACGTTATTGAATTTGAATATTTAAGGGTTCTTTGCATGTCAATTTTTTCCTTACTCTTTTTTATTTTGCTTATTTTAATTTTGTTCTTTTACCCAATACAATAAAACAAATTCATTATGTAAATCATATCTAATTTATAAATATTTTTCTGATTCTTTTGCAGGGTTGGGAAGAAAGTGTGGATGCTTCTATCTCTCATTTGTTAAAAACATGTCTGTCCAAGAGTTCGAAAGACCATGCTCTTACACTTTTTAATCAATTATGTATCCCCAAGGATACTAGTAGATTGAAGAAGCACATAACTTTACTCTTCGATAGACTGGCAAAAGGTGGTCGTATGTCTCTAAACACAGATCTAGACTTTCACCAACCTATGCTTTTGTCAGGTAAGTTGTTTGATATACATTTATGTGCACCCAGTTCAGAAAAAAAGGAATGTAACTTTGGTGAGATTGTTTAAATTTCCTGCTAAAATGGTTATAAAAAAAAAAGGCTTTTCTCTCTCCTTCAGAAATTCCAAAATAACCACTGAATAAATATGCTAGTGGAATTTTGATGCCAAATATTTTTAGAATGGTATGTATTTCTGTAACATTTAACATGATCCATTATGTTTTCTTTCTAACCAATAAAAAGTGGATTAGAGAATAAAACCACTTTGAACTAACATTTGTCTAAATGTGATCAGTGACTGCCATATTTCAAAAATAAAAATAGACTAATACAAAGGTTAATGTACCCCAGATGATCATTTCAAGCTGCGTTCAAGCTAACCAGTAAGTTCAGCTGAAAGTCACACAGATATACAATTCTACTTTAATGACTTCTGAAATAAATTCATTTAAACTGCTTTTGCCTGAATGGTGTAAATATGGGGATATCCATCCATGAGATTCTTCTTTTCTATGCTGAAATGTTAGTTTTCATATTTAATGTGTGGATATATTTAATAAGTCAAAGGAAAAGAGGTGATTTAGATCTTTATATACATACTTGGTAGTGTTGCACAAAGGCAAGATGTCCAGATTATCTCTTCTGAAGATAAATGGTCAAGTTCTGGTTTGTTGATCCCATAATTTTTTGATATTATGTTTCTGAACAGTTTATTATTATGTCACAAGTACTAATTGTGTGTTACAGGTTTTGTCTTAATTTATCTCATTTTTCTTTATCAAAACACATCAAAAAAGTAGTCCTGTGGAAATAATTGTGCCAAGCCAATTAAAATATTGAATTAGTATTATGTTTAGTACTATTTATATATATACATGGTAGTATTGAAAGAGAATATTCAAATGTGTCTAAGTTGAAAGAATAGGAATTATTGCTGTAGTTGCTGAAACTATTTGCAAACAAAAAAATAGATGGAGTGGTGGTACTCTTTATAATTGAAGTTAACAGTTGTTTTTTCGCAAGATCCAATCTGGGACTATCACCGGAATCAGAGGTTTAGTCTTCTGAGCTTTCAAACTCATGCTGGAGCCTATCCTCAGGGAACTTCTCTCTACATTCACACAAACATACATACATCTAAGATTCCACATTCTGGTAGAAATAAATTCCCTGAAGATGGGCTCCATCATGAGTCTAAAAGCTCGGAAGATTAAACCTCTGATTCTGTGGACCGACCCAGATTAGATCCTGCAACATTATTCAGAGACACTTATATTTGCCTTTATTTGTGAATTGCTTTTATTGGCACTTCTCACAATGAGTATGATGGAGATAAAAAAATATTTACTATAGATTAAAGAAGATGCCACCTCTATCCCTGTTGTACATTGTTTTTTCCTCAGCTGTTTTTCATTAATTTTAATCTTACTATTTATATTTTTAATATTTTATATTGTCATCTTTATTTCACTGTAAGTCACCCAGAGTTTCTGGATACTGAGATGGACAGTGAATAAATTTACATAATAATTAATTTGGCCTCTATGTTCAAATCCAGTTGCTGATGTAGACTTATAAATCTCTTAAATCATTGACCACTGCATGTTTTAGAATGTGTCTTTCACATTATATCTGTTTTCTCATTAAGATCTCATGCAGTGATTCAAATATATGCTGTTAGAAAAATGTAGTATTTATGATAGAAATAATGCCTCTACAACAATTATCCTAAGAATTTTGACTGTTTAAGTGTTAATGTTAAAATACATGCTTTTTAAATGTAGACATAAAGGTACTCTAGTATAGCATTGTGCTATCCTGAAGTCTGCTCAATATTCATTTGCCATCATCTCTGTTATTAGATTAGTTTGGAGTTGATCAGCTGGAAAGGAACACTGTTGGCTTGTGTGAGGTTCTCTGCATTTCAAGATAGACTGGTGAGGACAAACACAGATTAACTTTACACTCTATTGAAGGATTTAGGAAATGAAAAAATGGTAGTTTAAAGTGATATTCATATTACATAGGAAGGAATATTATTTTTACAAAGATATAAAAATAAATTGGTGTGTAAACTGAAACATTTACAGGCATGTGCATACATTTAGTCACAAGCTATTTAACTTTGGCTAAATGATGGATAAAAAAGAGATAAAGGGATAAAAAAGGTAAAGGAGTCCCTGTGAATTTTACTCAACTAATGGTTGCCAACTATAGGGGATAGTGCTCATCTCTGTTTCAAGGCCATTGAGCCAGTACGGTCAGAAGACATTTCTGGATCCTGTGGCCAGCATAACATCACGGAGCGCTGTTACCTTCCCACCAAAGTGGCACTTATTTATCTTCTCACATTTGTATGCTTTCGAACTGCTAGGCTGGCAGGACCCAGTGCAAGGAGAGGAGCTCACCCAGTAGCATGGCACTTGGGTCTCGAACCTGGGCTGCCAGCTTTCCAGCCAACAAGTCCAGAATCTTAACTGCTGAGCCATTGCACTGCCTCAAGTATCCCATTTTAAGGGATAATGGAAACAAAGTTTGATTGTGGTGCAATCTAGTCCATCTAATGTTTTAGAGGAGACAGAAAAAATATTGGTCAGGGGACTGGAAATTGTTGGGCTTATCCCTTGATCTTAGGCATATCCCTTTTCATAAAGAGTGAAGCAGGGAATTATGTTTTCTTCTCTTTACAGGAATAGTCTAAGCTAAGATTAGTCACTCTATACTCTGCAAGGCAGAGTTCTTGCTGGATTCTTGAAATTAGTTGCTCCCCAATCAGAACGGGAAATGGAGGAATGGAATGAAATGCTCAGAAAAGGGAAAAAAACTAATGGAAATATGGGTTTCTTTCTGACTGTACCTATATGTCCCATTCTTGCATTAATAATATTAAGTTAGAGTCATTTATCACAGTGGCTTAATTTATTTTACTTTTTTCATTACTGCTATCTAATATATTGTGTCTTGTATGTAGCTGTTATGTTTTTTTAAAAGAGTAACTAGATTTCTGTTGTTTTTCTGATTGAAACGGTAATATAAATTAAAATGGGATATAGATATTAGTGATGAAAGAAAAACAAGATATAGTAACTTAATTAAACCTAAGGCAGGAGCCACAAGAGAAAATTTCCAAAGCGGATTGTGATGTGACTTTACAGGATGGGGAAAACAATTTGGTCCTCCTTAAAAAAAAAAAAAGAGTTACACTTGGCAAGTATATACCTAATCTTTGGCAACTATTTTGATCCTGTTTCTAGAACTAAAATGTCAATTTATTGTGGGTGTGGTATAGCTAAATTCAATACTGCTTTAACAACTATATTTAAAAGCAATGTGAATTTATTTAAAAAGTAAAAATGTGATTTGTATTATTATATAAATATATAGATTCCAGAGAAAGTTTTCATAAGGTCTTTGCTCAATTTCATTCAAATTTTTATTCATTCGTTCGTTCGTTTGTTTGTTTAATGTTCACAATTGCTTCTAAGCATTATATGTAGTTCTTGACTTACAATAGTAACTGAGCTGAGAATTTCAGCCATGAATCATTGTGACCATAAGTCAAGGTACCTGTGTGACTGAAAGTAATTTTCTGGTGATTTTCATGATGATTGTTAAGCAAACACTGTTTTCATTAACGACACTATTATTAAGAGTACCCATTCATTTGAAATGGAATTTTTTGCCAGAAACTGGCAAAAACATCTTGAGTAAAGGTCATGTGACTGCAGAATACTGTAGCGGATTGTAAAGCTACCCATTCAGCATACAGTGAAGTGACCGGGGGGAGGGGGCAGCACAACTATTTACGATGGCTGGGGTTCTTTATGGGCTGTAAAGCACCTGTTCTGTGGCCATCATAATTTCAAATTGTAAAATAACCCATTGTTAAGCAAGGATTACCTGTATTATTAGAATTAAGTTAATGAATTTTTAAAACTTATATTTATACAGTTACAGGAAAAGTGTATGGGATGCTCAGAAGTATTTGGACATCACATTTGTTCTCAATTATATTTTTGACAAAATTCAGGAAAAAAAAATATTTTTCTAATACATTAATAAAATATATAAATTAATCAGTATTAAAACAATTGGAATAATAACAATAAAATATAAAATAGGGGAAGCAATTTCCTTCTAGCAAAAAAGTTTAAAAGTAATGATAACTATAGTGATAATGAGTAATTTTGAAGAATAAAGAAAATGGGAAATCTGTTTCTATTCAAGAAAAAATTGAAAATCTTGTGAGGAAGGTTTGTGTGTGTGTGTGTGTGTTTGTGTGTGTGTGTATCTCTTTGTGTCTACCGACCTATCTACTTACCTACCTACCTAGCTATCTATAGCTAAGTAAGTGTGATATGTGTAAGAGGGATGAGGGATGATGTCTGTGCATCCATATGTAAGAAGGAAGGTTGTGTATGGACACAAGTATTCAGAGAAAGGATTCTGTACATTGTTTATATCTTCTGTACAAGTGTATATGTACATATATCTTCTGTGCATTCTGTACATGTTTATATCTTCATGTACTGCTGAAGGTTTCTTCTAAAATCTGCTATGCCTACAATTTCAAAAAATTCTTATTCCTTGTTTAGAAACTGATTGTTAAGTTCCAGCTGAGAAGCCCAATGAAGCAAAACACCAAAGGCATTGCATTCTCTAATGTAAACTTTATTAGGCATTAGCAAACTGGTAAGATAGGAAGGAAGCTAGCTCTGAGAATATGGTGGGAAACAGATAATTAAAAGAGTGAAACTTTCCCTCCCCTCTCTGACAGTTCAGGTCACATTGTCCAGTAAATCTTCCAGCAGTGTTATGAGAAGAAACTTCAGTCTGCCAAAACCACTCCTCAGTGGCTTCAGCTCTCACGTTGATAAGGAACACCTGTGAATCCCAAACTCTCCCCCCCCATAACTGTAAACAAGCTAGAAGCATTATGGTGATCTTAAAAATGGTAGATTTCATAGCTTGACAGGCCAGCCCCCTAAAAAGG